ACTTAAGAGGTTGATCCAGTGAATAAGTAGGTTTTCTTGCTTTCTATTTTCTAGGTTCAAATATTGGAATCAACATCCAAGAAAATTACTAAATTCTTTTCAATATACCAGATTAATATAAAAATATATCCTTTAAATAATTTTTAAAAAGGATTTAATTTCAGGCACAAGTTTATCAAAAACATAGCCTTGATGTCTAAAAAAAAGTGCTAGGTACAACCTGCGCTTCCTGTGGTTTATGCTGCCTGTACAACAGCTCTCACTGTAGTTACTACTTGTAACTATATTTTGAATATTATTTTTAAAAAATATTATTTAAATATTTTTATATTTTTATATAGTTGTAATGTGTAAATATTAAAAATAATTTTTTAAAAAAATATTTTAATATATTTTGTAAAAAATATTTAAAAAATCAAAATATCCACTTTGGTTCGATGGGCCCAAGAAAAAAAACGATGATTGACCACTCTATTAGTTCAGCAAAACGTAGCCGTTGTAAGACCTACAATCACAATTTTCAAAAACATTTGAAGAACACAGACTGCAGCTAGTGACATATAGTGATGAGACTCAGACTTTCACAGTTGCTTTTAACCCCCCGAATTTTGTGGGTGCTAATTTACCTGGAAAAAAATCCCACCGAATCACAAACAAAATATACACCTTTTCGCTTTCTGGCTTCGGTTAAAAAAAAATCGCCATTCACATATAAGAGACAATGAAAGTTACAGCAGAACCTGAACTCCTGCGTATTGCTGATGGATAAGATGCGCAATCGGTGCAGTTTAAGCAAGAGAAAAACAGAGTTTTTTTTTAACATAATAAATTTTTTATAAAATAATACAATGTAAAAGGTATTTAGAAAAATAGTATATTTTAAAATATTATAAATAATATTTATAATTTACAAGTCACAAGTATTACACGTGACTCTCAAAATTTTTCAAAAAAAAAAAGAGAAAAAATTTAAAAACATACCTAAACTTTGATAATGATATTACTAGTATTGTTAAAAAGATTTCGATTAAATGAATCTGACAATACCCAAAAAGATCATCAATGGTAACAAGAGTGGATCACATGAATGGATTATTTTGTGTCATTTGATTCATCTTCTCATGATCTTTTTTATAATATTAATGGTATCTTCATTGAAATTTCATTGTGTATATGGAGTCATTTTTTTTTCTCTTATCTTCTCTTTGCAATTTATGAAGAGAGAGGAGAATGAGAAAAGTAAAAGTAAAAATAAAAAGATATTAGAGATGTTTAGAAGTTATGATGTCGAAATCATTGGTATCATAGAAAATATATCAACAAGATGAATTCAATAACAGTAAATAAGGCCACAAATGATGAACGAAGTGGGTTACACAAGACGTTTAAATTGTCATAACTCACTTGTTTTTAGACCGCTCAGATGTCTCACTCTAATCACTATTAGTGGTCATCCTTAATATTAGTGAATTGGTCCCATCAAAATCTTATCAATAATATTAATGGTATTATTATTATTAAAGTTTCGGTGCATTTCAATGATTTTTTTTTCTTTTTTATTTTATTTTATTAAATCTTTTGTCCAGTAAATTAGCAAATTGAAATGATAGTGTATGACGCTTATTACTCATAAATCACGTATATTATTTACAACTTTTTAAAGTATATTATTTTCTTTAATATTTTTCACACCATATTATTTTATTTAAAAAAAATTATATGCTGGAGTCCCAATAAACTCCAAAAAAAGAAGTAAATAAAAGTGCAAGCAGAGAGCGCACCGAATTGTTGATGTAAGCAAGAAGTGTAATTTAGTGCAGTATAGTGTTGCAGAGTTAAAGACGGAGAGAGAGAGTGGCAGAGAGAAAATTGGCAAGCGGCGGAGAAAGCTTGGGTTACAGGACCACCAACTTTTAACGGACAAAAATTAAAGCTTGTGAGAGTTTCTTCGCCAACTCTCACCTTAGGGGCGTGTATTAGAAATGCGTATACACACGTGTTTATTCAACGGAATTATCCCATCATTAGAAAGGAGGTCCTCATTATGACTGCAGATTGAAATATTTTTTTTCAATGTAAAAATAAACAAAATCAATCAAAATAAAAAAAATATAAAAATATAAAAATAAAATTAAAATTAAATAAAAAATATATTTATATTTTAACAAATAAAATAGAAAAAATAAAAAAATAAAAAAATCGTTAGAATCCAACCATTATGCCGTTATGTATACGCTCCACACTATAAAAAAATAACATCAATATATGTAAAATGACAAAATCACACCAAAATCAACTTCTTAATTAATAATAAAAAAATAATTTAAAAATATAAAAATATCACTAGTTACAGGTTTAAAAAATTATATTTTTAAGGATATGATAGTTTTTACATTACACTTTTAAAATGTAAAAACACTAAATTACCCTCGATCAATCTTATAATAAATTTTATTTTTAAAGGTAATATAATCTTTACATAAATCACGAATTCTTAATTGTCAAATAAGAATTCATCTTTCAAATAATCTTGATATAAATAATTTATGTTTTCATTGCCATTAAAAAAATTCGTGTAGTAAAAAAAATAAATTAGTGTTGATGGTGATTGATACTCTTCTTAGTTTATGTATCCTCCTCGTATTTCGAACTCATGCAAAAATCATGGAATACATAATGTATGCATAACATGTAAAATAAACTTAGAAATTTTACAAATACTAAAGTTTAATTTGTAAGAACATTGAATTCAATACAATTGTGATTTTTATAAAAAAATCAATTTGATACAATAAGTATGTTCATTTTGAATATTAAAGAATTATATCTCTATTCTTCGTTAAAGACGCATTAATTTAGGATTTATGTCCTATAATCACATATCAAAGCTATACACATGATCTTATTCATGATGTTGAACACAATTTTTACCTCAAAAAAAAAAAATTGCAATTGAGAAATAGGCTGTGGTTAGACAAGCAAGACACGGACGCGCGTGGGAGGTGGGCATATTTGATGATGATCGATGGAGAGAAAAGGTGACGGTCCCCCCTTGCAATGGAGAAAGAGAGGGAGGGAAATGGGTGGGATACTTTATTAGAGCAATTAATTAGGGGATTAAATGTGGAAACATTGGACCACCACATCTCTTTCTCCCTCACCACAGTCCCTTATTATGGGAACAAATTTTTTGGCACCACCACCACCACCACCACCACCACTCCACTCCAGCAGTCGCATCCATTCTTTTCATTCCATTCTCTCTCTTAGAACTCCTTTCGGAGTTTTTTCGGCCATGTATAAACGAACCTATTGCAGCACATACAAAATTCAGGCCCCCTTCGGAGACAGGACCAGAGGCTCTCCGCGCATAAGTCTCACTGAAACCCATCTGAAAAAGCCTCGACCTAACTCCAACTTCGGAATAGTTTCTTGGGATTCGTCAGAACTGCGAAGATTTCTTTATACTATACTATGAATTAAATAAGTTGTTTTTTAGGGGTCCGTGTTCCTTTTACTCATTTATCTTTTCATATGATATGACTACCGGTATTTCTAGGTACTTTTCGAAGAAAAAAAATACTCTCTTTTTCTTGGGATCTCATCATGTCTTTATATATAATCCAGTCATGGAGGAGAATTGCTCGTATCAAAAGTTCTATATCCTGTGGTGTTCTAGTAGATTGTTTCAAAAAATAAATAGCACATGCTTTCCAAGTCATATAAGACTATTTCATGAAATTCTATAACGAACTGGAAAAATGAAATCTAGATGCATTCCAAATGAATTATAGAATTATATGCCTATGTGTATGGGCCAGGGCTAGCAAATAATGGAGGGATTAGTAGTATTTTAGCTTGTATGTGCCCCATAAAAAAGAAATTCAGGTCTGGGGAAATATTTCTACATTATTATTATATCAAAAAATATAGTTGTTTCCAATTACTTTTTTATAAAAATAATTTTTCCATTCAACATACTTGTTGTTTATTTTAACCAACATAATATTTTTAATTGGAAGTGTTATGTATCTTTTAATATATATATATATATAATTATTAAAATAAAATAATAAAAAAATATCAAAATAATATATTCAAAGAAAAAAAACTAATAACCTCCAGTATAAATTAGTACCATTCAATTCAATGTTTGCTTCAATGGGTTATGATTGCATCCTAGCTCTATAATTAATTCAAATTAGGTTACAACCCATTTCAGTAAAATTTTCATTAGCAATTATTAGTATTATTATTTTTAGACCAGATACATAATAATTGAAAAGATATTATTAAAATTTTAATAAAAATTTATAAACCATCTCAAAATTAAAAAAAAAATGAATCTATTAAGATTTTTCAGGGTACAAAAAAAAAACCAGCAAAGAACCGAGCACAAACACCTAAAATGTTTTATTTTTTTCATCTACCTCTCATTACTTGTATTTGAAGAAAAAAGTGACAGATTATTTGTTAAAATTTTGAAAATAAGTACGTGAACTTGTGATTTTTTACTTGTCACGCGCGCTAATATAACCTGAGCTGTGATATGAATTTGTTATAAAATAATTACAAAAATTAATTAATATATTTTACAATATAGATAGTAAAACTCCATTAAAAAACAGCAAATATATGGCGTAGGTTAATGGTATGGCTTTATTAAAAAAAAGTAATTAATTAAAGCAAGCAAAAGAAAAAGTCATGTGGCGGCTTGTAGTTAGTGTAGCAGGCAAAGGGCGATTGCTTCTTTCTATGGCTCCTGGTTTATGTGTCATCAGTGAAGCAGAGGAGTTCAATATATATATATATATAACTTTTTCACTATAAAACAATGATTTTAGGATATATTATTTTTTCCTGGTTATGGTCATATTTTATTTGGTTGGTGTGAAATAATTGAGGGAATTATATGGTTTTCTTACTAGGAGAAGTCTATTTTGGATGTATTTATACCTTGCTGCATTGACCCACTTGGGCTAGCTATAGCGATAGAGAGAGAGAGAGAGAGAGAGAGAGGCATATATCAAATGATGATCGTGGCTAGAGGGTCATCATCACTTCTATCTGATCTTCTATTCCAGAGAACGTATATTTGATCTTTTTTCTTCTTCCTAGATTTTGCTTTCATTTCATGGCATGCCATGTTGGCTTATTAAGAGAAGCAGACTGAAAAAAAGGAAGGCTTTTTACCTCCCTTTGGCTACCTCCATTTTATCATAAATCATCACCTTCTTCTTCTTCTTTTTCTTCTTCTTCTTCTGTCTCCCCCACCAAATCTCCACCACTGAGCAGCACAAACCCTCTTCTTGTATATTGATTCTTGAAAAACAGCCACTCTTTCTTCCTTAAGTAGGTAAAGTCTCCTCTTAAATTAGCATAAAAAAATTACAGTTCTCCATTTGTTTCTTTTCTTTTTCTGGTTTAGTTGGGTATTAAAAAAATGGCAATTTCGTTGATTGCTCTTGCTTTATGATACTTGTAACTGTGTTTTAGTGCTATGATTTCTTTGAGTTCTCTTATTATAGTGAATCTTGATCATGAAATTGTAGTTGCAGAATCAACATCGGTTAAAAGAGGGAACAGCAATATAAAGAAGAGAAACTTCTTGGGGATACATGGCTAGAGAACAGTGTGAAGATAAGTCGAGGAACATGGTATCTTCAGGAAGTTTTTGTTACCCAGATGTTTCATCGAGTAACCCAACAATCCAAACCCATCTTGGGAATCAGATCCAAGGATTTGAATCCAATCCGGAGATCTTCAACTTGACTACAGGTATGGAGATGATAGGGTTTTCAAAGAATCTACAGCACCAACAAAGCGACAGTAACTCTGTCATGTGGAAAGGTTTCTTTAACAAACCAGCAAACAACCACCACCCTGGTGGTCCTTCTTCTTCAAAGACGATTCATGAATCGACAAGTGGTGATTTTTATCAACATGAATTCAGCAAACCTGATTTCTCAACTGGAATTTCTGAGGCAAGTAATGAGAATCTAATGGTTGGGGCTGATCACTCAGCTCCTTGGCAAGAAAACAGGTTGCTTGTTGATGATTCTTCGTTGACATGTGTGTTTCCATGTGAAGGAAATGAGAGGCCAAGTCAAGGTCTTTCACTCTCTCTGTGCCCAAGCAACCCTTCCAGTATTGGTTTACATTCTTTTGAACTAAGACACACCCCTACTCATCAGAATCAAGATAATTCACAAGAAGAAATGAGGTTCTTTGGCAAATCTCCAGCAAATATACAGCAACAGATGATGCAGGATGGTTTTTTGACAAAAGCTGCAAATTTGCATCATCAAGCGCAGTTTCAGCTGAGGAACTCAAAGTACTTGGGTCCTGTACAGGACCTATTGAATGAGTTCTGTAATATTCGGACAAAGCAAGGTGATGCGCTAAAGCAAAAGCCACACAAGCCTAAACAGTGGGATGATGATCAGAATGGAAGTTATTCAAGAAAGCAATCTCTTGAATCTCTTCAATTCATTGAATTGCAGAAGAGAAAGACAAAGATGCTTTCAATGCTGGAAGAGGTATATATGTTCGTGAACTCCTTGTTTTAAAGTTTATAAAGATCCTATCTTTTTCGTTATTCCTTTCGACAAAGATAAAAAGGACACAGCAACATGTTTCTTGTACCTTATTACTGACAAGAAAGATTGAAAATTTTACTCTTGTTGTTGATTAGTTGTTCCTGAACTAATTTAGCGACTTGGGGCCTCGTCTTTAATGCCCCCATCATGACAATTCAAGCTTTTTATGTACTTTCAGAAACCTCGATTCCTTTATCTTCTTTTCATGGCATCTTTGTTTTCATCTTATTACTCTCCTTCTGTATGTAGTCATCCTAGATGAAACTCGTATTTTCAATGGCTAATAAAAGCTAACAACTCAATTTTCACATATATCACTATCTGTTTCTTTTTTTCTTTTAGGTGGATAGAAGATACAGGCACTACTGTGATCAAATGAAAACTATGGTGTCATCCTTTGAAGCCGTGGCAGGTACTGGAGCTGCGTCAGTCTACTCAGCTTTAGCATCTAAAGCCATGTCAAGGCACTTCAGATGTTTAAGAGATGGAATTGTGGAACAAATTCATGCAACAAAGAAAGCTATGGGGGAGAAAGATCCTGTTGCACCAGGTACAACAAAAGGTGAAACTCCAAGGCTTAAGATTCTTGATCAAGCTTTAAGGCAACAAAGGGCTTTTCAACAAATGGGCATGATGGAGAGCCATCCATGGAGACCTCAAAGAGGCCTTCCCGAAAGATCTGTGTCGTTTCTTCGAGCGTGGTTGTTTGAGCATTTTCTCCATCCGTAAATATCTCTCTCTATCTTTGAGCTTCTGCAAAATTTAGTGTCTATATAACTACACTACAAAGTAGATTTAATGAAAGAATCAAGGTTTTCTGCAAAAAAAAACAAAATACAACACATGTTGTTGTGTTATAGCCCCAGTAACTTCTTTCATAAGTTAAGTGTTAAGAATGGTCTCAATCATTTTGCTTTCAAATACCTTCTTAGTCTCTACCCACCTCCATCAGATTCTTTTTTTTTTTTCCTTTTTTTTCATATTATTTCAATCATTTTAGTTCTCATTCTATGTACATATTTTAAATTTTTGCGTGGATTTGATTCTATTGCATAGGACCCATATCTCTCACTCACACACGCAAGAGGAGTTAAGTAACATACACATGTTGTTCTAGCCTCACATCAAGCTTAACCTCCATGTTTTTCATGGCAAACCTTTTGCAGGTACCCAAGTGATGTTGATAAACATATTTTATCCCGTCAAACTGGTCTCTCGAGAAGCCAGGCACGTCCACATCTCTCTATAGATTATTTTAATCTTACATGAATTAATCTATATTATCGATGGGGCATATCTTCATAGGATCCACAGTTTACTCATATGATCTCAAATGTGATTATAATATTTTTATGTGTATGATATTAAATTAATTATATGATGCCTCTTGTTCTTACGTCTTTCAATAGGTATCCAATTGGTTTATCAATGCAAGAGTGAGGCTATGGAAACCTATGGTGGAAGAGATGTATTTAGAAGAAACAAAGGAGCAAGACAATAACATGGCCTCCTCGGATGGAGTCACTGATCTTGATGAAAATATCAATGGCCGGCCTAATCAAAATCCTTCTTCAACAGATCAAAAACCGACACCGGACCATCTCATTCGAATTGACTCTGAATGCCTGTCTTCCATTATCTCTAACCCAGATAAAAACGGCACCAATAAAAGCACCATATCATTTCAAAGCCACCACTTGCAACACCAACAACAGAGTTTTGGAAACTTTGGTAGTATGGATTTGGATTTTTCATCTTACAATCATCACGCGGCGGGTGGGGTTTCTTATGCTAATGATAGTGCTAGTAACCAGAACTTCAATAGTGGTGGTGGAGTGTCGTTGACATTAGGGTTGCAACAGCATGGAGGGAGCGGAGTGAGCTTAGCATTCTCTCCTGCCTCTCAAAGTTCTCTATTTTACCATAGAGACCATATTGAAGATTGCCAACCAGTCCAATACTCACTTCTAGATGGTGAAGGACAGAATTTGCCTTACAGGAATTTGATGGGAGCTCAGTTACTGCATGACATGGCTGGATGAAAAAAAAATTGCTTGATCGGACATTCGGTGGGGATATTGCCGGAGTTCTTACTAAAGGATGGTGATGGTTGCCAAGTAGTTTTAGGTGTAGATAAAAACTCCATACGTATCTACATAAAGCTATCCTAGTTAGTTAAAAATACTGTGGACATTAGTTCCATAGCTAGAATAGTTTGGCCTTTTTTTTTTCTTTTTTTGCATTGGAAATTAAGAACTTGTTTCTTTTATGAGAGGCTAAATTGGAATTGCATGTGATCGACGCAAGGTAATTCAGGTATTTCTTCACTCTTTTGGGTAGAATCAGTTTTTCAAGAATTTTATCATGTTTTATTTTCTGAAGGTAGATGTCTCCTCCTCCTTTTTGCAGTGTGGTTGTGATTTTTTCAAAATGTTTTTTATTAAAAAATATATTAAAATAAATTTTTATTTTTTAATAATAATTTTTTATATCACGTATCAAAATAATCTAAAAACAGTAAAAAATATTAATTTAAAATAAAAAATAAAAAAATAATTTTTTTCAAATGCTTTTAAAATAAAAAATAAACATGATCAAAATGATTATCTAAGCTGAGTGATTGAATCATTTCTGGCTCTTGTTTAAGTGGTGATTTCAATTTTTTATTTTTTTTTGTAATGGTTTATTATAGCTAGATATTTGTTTTTTATTTGCTAGACAAAATTAAGTTAGCAACTCAATTTGGTTGGACCTCGGTTTTGGAGATTAAGACAATTGCTATACATGGTGGTCCCTAATTCATCTTCATGAAGGTGATCTTTCATGCTCATAAGAATTGCTTGCTTAATGATTTGTCCACTTTGGCTACTGCTTTTGCTGATGGAAAGGTGCTTTTTTTTTACCTTCCTTTTCGACATGGTGTGATAGCTAGAGGATTTTCTAGGATTATATGCTCCTTCAAGTGGAAAACGCAGCTCTTCCGGGGAAGGTTTTTATTAATTGCTGCCCTAAATATTATTCCCATGATTGAAGATCATGAACTTGTTCTGGTAATCAACATGAGTAGCTTTTTTTCAGTGGGAAAACAAGTAGTGGCCTTCTCGATTCTTGATTTCGTAATAAAAGTTCTTAGCAATGGTTTTAATTTTGTATCACGCGCTAATTAATTAAGGAGCTACATAAATATAACTGTGTAGGAGCAAGATTAGGCAAAATGCGTGAAGGTTATATATGCTCCATTAAGAACAATTTGCATTACCGATTAATGCATTTTCCAAAAAGGTTAGGCCATCATAACTCTCAGGGGGGTGGGGGGGCTAAAAAACAACATCAGCACTTACATTAGCATGGTGATCTGCGTGACCAAACATTGCAAACGACTTTACTAAAAGCATAGGGCAATAGTTAATTAAGCATATGGGAGCATTAATTAATTAAACAATAGTTAATTAAGCATATGGGAGCTTTAATTAAACAATACTTAATTACGCATATGAAAGCATTAATTAAATCAAGCAAACAACAGTTAATTTATGCTCTTTTTGCTCAAACAGAAAGTGGGAAAGGTTTTAGTGATTCATGCATTACCTTTGACGCTGACGCTGATGATTATCATTTTATATGCTGTAACGCTTCAATCATTTACTTGTCTTATGAAAAATGTGTGCCTAACTGGCTACTCATCCTGAAGGTGACATCGCTAAAAAGCATTATGTTCTTTTTTATATCGCACACATGCATTGAAGGTACAGGGTCCCTTCTACTGTTTGTGAATATCTATATATCTTTGAAACTCCTTATTGAAGAACTTAGCTAAATTATTATACTAATTAATTGCAGATCATGCTGGTGGGATCGATCCATTCATGTAATGGATGGAAAGTTTCTCTACAAGTCATTTAACAGTGGTGATTTTGCTACACCTCCAACAGCGCATTTCAGCTTTGCCGAGCAGCTTATTATTACAGTATTGAGGTATGGCGATATAAGAGAAAACACAGCATGGTAAAATCACCATCTCCCATTTATTTAGGCAAAACAAGTGATGGGTGCCCAAGTGCACATGATCTTAAACAAAAGCCTATTCGCAATAACACATGACTAAAGGGCCAGCACAGGAAAGCAGAAGGCAAAGTTTACGTGATAATATAGTAATTTAAGTTATTAGATAAAATTTTAAAATATGATTTATATTATATTTTTAATATATATTTTTTAATGAATACTTTTTAAATTTAAAACTTACATCGACCTACATTACCCTATGCTTAATTTTTATCAAATAAATAAAGATAATAAGATTCAAACTCGAGATCTCTTAATTATCAAGGTTCTAATATCATGTCAAAGAATTATCTAAACCCAATAAATTAAGCTATTAAGTAAAGTTATGGAATATAATTTATATTATTCTCTGATAATTTATCATCAAAACATAAAGGTTAAAGTTTTTAGCACCTTTCAATCTAACTTTCAATTTATTTTCATTTAAAGTTACCCTGAAATATATTATAAAAAGCTCAATAATTCTATTTTCAACCCCAAAACATGCTATAATTAGTTTAAAAAGCAAAAATCAAACAGAATAAAAAACAATACAGGCCATGAAAGACATTTTTAGACGTGGTTGAAGTACAAGATCACATCATTTGAACTCTCATCTCCAAGACTAATTAACTAATACTAAGATTGGTGTTTTTCTCTTCTTTTTTAATAGCAGCTTTCTCTCTTCTTTCTCAGCAATTAAGGATTGAAACATAATAAAAATATTTGATACCAAAAAGTAAAAACTCAAAACTATAGGAACCAAATAATGTAAAAATAAAAAAATTTACAAGACCAAATGAAATATTTTGCAACTTATAAACGATATGTGTGTGTCATAAGTTTGATATTTCAAGCTATATTCTTCCATCGTGTTGAAAGCATAAGCAGGACTAAAATTAACCAGGTTCATATTGGGCCTCATAATCCCACCACCAGCAATAATTGAGCCCAAAAGTAGGATATAGAATTTCTCTCGGGCTTGGAGCTTGGACGTTGGAGCTCTATCTAAACCCAGTCCAAGTCTGTTTGGGCCACTTAATTAACCATCTTGTTTCAGGCATCTCAGCTTCATAGATCAACAGGAGTCTAAAAAGTTCTACAAATTATTGAGCCGAGACTTAGATACAGTCTAGGATTTTTATTTTATTTTGCTGTTTCGACAGGCCCAAGGCTGTGTTCAAGGACAGTGGCCCGGTTCCCCTTGTTTTGAAAATGCCAACCGGGTTCTGGACAAATTTCTCTTGCCTGTAATCATGCACCGACCACATGCAGGCCCACTCTTGATCATCTTGATTTTCTTGTCTGTCATTTTATTTTTTGTCTTGCAATAAAAAAACATAGTCTAAAAAACAAGGAGGCTAGCTTTGAAAGAAATCTCTTCCCAGGCCGATAATGCAACATCTGAAATCGGCTTTTCAAGGGGCTGACCGTACCTAGTGGACCAATGTATGCTCACAATTCAATTATAGAGCCTACAGTCGATGTGACCCTAGAAAAATTTCAATTCAGGTGGTTTTCTATTGGTCGCACCTCAATTCACGTATGCACAGCCCGTATCTCACAGTATTTTTATTCCTCTACAGCATCTCACGTCAAGCTTGTACGTGGCGGGAAATCCATTTGGAGCGCTTTTATTCGATATCAAACAAGATATCCTGTAAGATTACGATTATGATTACGATTACTATTACGATTACGATTACAAATTATTAAAATTAAAATGCTTCGGTGCGTGCACCCAAGTGTCCGCGCATACTACAGTGGAATGAAAATGTGAACTGAAACTTTTGCTGTTGTTGAATAAAATTATTTAACTTTTTCATAGAATCTATTTATTGTTATTATATTAATTGGAGACAAATTAATCTACTAATATTTTAAAGGAAGAATAAGATAATTTAAATACCATTAAAATTTTAAAAACTAGGGGTCAAAGAAATTTTTTTTTCTCTTTTAACTTTTTGACTGCAAAATTAAATAAGTACATTGTCCTTAAAAAAAAGATTTTAAAACTAACTTCTAGTATTTTCATCATGGTATTTAAGTTATAAATAATATATGTAAAGAGCAATTTATTTTTTTAAGAAACATAGATACAAATTAAAAAATAATTAGCATGTGCAGCACACACACTATTGAAAAGATACATTTTACATCTCCCCACATCCAACTATCATTTTCCGCATATATTTTGAAAGTATCACGACTTTCTTTTCCTGGTGATCAAGCATATATACATGATGACACACCGATTCTATTTAGATAGACGTTGTTTCTTTCCCTTCTTCTTCTTTCTCTTCTCACTTAGAATTTCGAGTTAAGCCTTTAAAAATTTAAATGTATCATGTTAGTTTGAATTTGTATTAATCTTAGTTTTCATTATTTTTATTGTTATTTATTTTATTTTTAATGCCTTTTCAAGTTTATTTTTTTAAAAAAAAAATTATCTATCATCATTTTATTTTTATTTAGTTTTTGTATCCAATTGATTTTTTTTTATTTACATCATTCAATACTATGTTATTCAACTTTAAACTTATTGATTTTCCTTACTTTTCCCTTTAAACTCTAATATTATATCCAAAGTTATGAGTTAAAACAAGTTAACTCATGTTTTTTCAATGTATTTGTAATTAATTTTTTTCTAATGTCTTTAATCATTTAGTTGTATTGAGAGCTAACCTTCATTGCTTTATTTAGTTTCTTCTATACGGAATTATTCTGATTTTGTAATAAGGTCATGAGTTTGGTATATTGATTCAAGTTAGTTTTTTTTATTTTTTTAAATTCAATTTATTTTTAACATTTAATTTATTGATAATTAAGCTTCAAGTTTTTTTTTTATTTTTCTCAACATAAATTTATTCTATTCTTATTTAATTTTTTTTTATTATTAAATGAGATCATTGAGATATTTTAATAATATTTATAGGATATCTCTATAATCCAAGAGTTTTTTTTACCGGTCATTTGCTTTTTTATTTTTATTTTTTTAATGATATTATTAAATTAACCAAAATTATCAAACTTATTTAAATCAATAATTTGAGTTTTGAATTTTTTTCCTTTAAAAATACTATTATTAACTGAATATTTTTTTTACAGTTCATAATATAGAACGAACCACCTCTCTATCTAGTGTATAACGAGAGGGAAGGTTCAAAATAGCGAAAATGTAGTGCTCCCATTATTATTATTTTACTGCAGTCTGTTAATTACCATGCTAAGCTACCTTAATTTATCAAAGCTAGTCTCAATATTATCTTCTTTTTACGAATCGAGTACTGATACCGCTGTCACTGCAACCACC